TCTACCTCATTATTGAAAGCAACAAAGTGAAGCTTCATTACATACTTTAGAGTGGTACCATCGGGGCTAATCAAGATCAGACCCGCTGCTCCTTCTTCACTGGTCAAGCAAGAGCCATCTACGTAGAGTTTCTAGAGTAGCAAAGAGGAGGGTTCAGAGATTAAAGTGGGAGACTGGGAGTCAGGATAGGGAGCCAGGGCACCAGGCTGGGTGCCTTGGAGTGCTTGGGTGTCTGAAGGAGTTGTCTGGGCGCTAGAGGGAGTTGTCTGGGTGCCAGAGGCTTCTTGGGCGCCAGAGGGAGTGGTCTGTGTGCCTGAGGATGAAGGTTGGGTGCCTAGGGAGGAGATTTGGGTGCTTAAGATGGTCTGGACGCCTAGCTTGGGGACCTGAAAGTCCTTGCTAGGCGTTTAGGTGTCCTTGTCAGGTTCCTGGGTATCCTTGTAGATCCTTGCCTCTGCTGGTTTAAGCTAAGTAATGAAATCTGCTAGAGCTTGTGCTTTGATGACTGTTTTTGGTTGGTACTGAATATCAAACTCACTGAGTTTCACTACTCACTTAAGAAGTCTGTCGGATACGTTTGGCTTCCCTATGACTCTTTTTAAAGGTTGGTCTGTGATGACAACTATGCTATAACTTTGAAAGTAATGTCAAAAGTGTCTTGCCATTGAGATCAGGGCCCGCGCTAGCTTTTTTAGCCATGAATATCTAACTTCTGTTCCCTGGTATGCCCTGCTCACGTAGTAGATAGGCTTATGCACTCCATCATCGTTTCTGATGAGCACGAAACTTACTGTCAATGAGGAAACAAAAAGACATAGATGTAGAATTTCTCTTAGAGTGGCATGTGATAGGAGGAGAGGTGCAGCCAGGTAGCTTTTGAGCATTTGGAAGGCCTCCTCTACCTCAAGTTCCCACTCAAAGACCTTTTGGAGAATCTTGAAGAAGGGCAGACATTTGTCTGCAGACTTGAAAACGAACCTATTGAGTGCTGCGATTCTCCCATTGAGACGCTGGAGCTCTTTGGTTGAGGAAGGTGACTTCATGTCGAGGATGACCTTGATCTTATCGGGGTTCGCTTCAATTCCCCTCTAATTGACCATAAAGCTCAAGAACTTTCCTAACCCTACGCCAAAGGCGCACTTCTCAAGATTGAGCTTCATGTGATAGGACCTCAAAACATTGAAAGTTTCCTGGAGGTGATCAATGTGGTCTGCTGCTGCTAGACTTTTCACCAACATGTCATCCACGTATACCTCCATCGTTTGCCTGATATGAGACTGGAACATCTTGTTCAACAGCCGTTGGTAGGTTCCTCCTGTGTTCTTTAGTCCGAAGGGCATGACCCTGTAGTAGTAGGTCCCCTTCGAAGTGATGAATGATGTCTTCTCCTGGTCTTGGGGGTATATGCTAATCTGGTTATACCCAGAGTATGCATCTAAGAAGGTGAGCAACTCATGTCCTGCGGTGGCGTCGATGAGGAAATCAATTCGTGGCAGCGGGTAGTTGTCTTTTGGGTACACCTTGTTGAGTTCTATGAAGTCAACGTAGAGGCACCACTTCTCATTTGCTTTAGTGACCATCACCACGTTGGAGAGCCACTCAGGATTTGCTACTTTTCTGACCGCCCCATTATCTATTAGCTTTCCCACCTCCTTGTGCATAGCTTGGACCTTTTCAGTGGAGGCGCCCCTTAGCTTTTGGCGAATAGACTTGTGGCGTGGGTCAACATTGAGACGCGGTGTGGCCACTTCTAGGTCGATGCCCTCAAGGTCTGCATGTGACCATGCAAAGACGTCCATGTTACGTCTCAAAAAGTCTATTAGCGGGCTAACCAGATCTTTAGAAAAGGAATAGTCAATGTATAATCTTCTGTCTAGGTGCTCCTCATCCAAGACCATAGGGGTGAACTCCTCGACTGGTTCTTCTCTTTCTATAGTGGAGTCATCCATTGGGTCAAGAACCTCAACTTGCAACGCCTCTTGTGGCTTCCTGGTCTTCATAGAGGAGATATAGCACTCCTTTGCTGCTACCTGGTCTTTTCTGACCTCTCCGACTCCATTCGAGGTTGAAAAGTGGAGGACGAGAAAATAGGTGAAGGGCACAGCTCTTAATGTGTTAAGAGTAGCTCGCCCTAGTATGATGTTGTAAACTAATGGGCAGTCTATTACCAAAAAATTGACCATGACTATAGAGCTTCGAGGTGCTGCTCCGGCTATGACAGGTAGGGTGATGGACCCTAGGTGATACACCTTCTTTCCCTGAGAACCCAATGAGAGGTGATCTGATAGGCTGCAGTTTCTCCATGCCCAGGTTGAGCTTGTCATAAGCCTCTGCGAATAGGATATCCGCAGAACTGCTGCTATCCACCAAGATCCTACGCACCTGAAAATTAGTCATGGTCATGGTGAGCACTAGGGGGTCATCATGGGGGTGGTGGATTCCTTCCAAGTCCTTATCTAAGAAAGATATAACCTCGTTGAAGCCATGCCAGGGCGCCATGGATGGGCACAACTCGTCGAGGTTTCTCGCATTTCTAGCATGGGCCTTCATGGTAGAGAGTGATTCTCCACCTCCTGCTAGTCCTCCTAAGATGGTGTGAATCTCTCCAATGGGCTATTAATCTTCTTGGTTGTGAGATGGTGGTGCCTGTCCTCTACCAGCAACATACTGACGTAGGTGACTGCGCTGGATGAGTTCCTTAATTTGTCTTTTGAGGTTATAGCAGTCATCAGTGTCATACCCGTGGTCGCGGTGGAAGTGACAATACTTGTTGGGATTCTTGTGATTTGGATGGGATTTCATCTTTCCTGGTCATTTTATCGCGGGGTCATCTTGAATTTGGAATAGGATGTGCCTGACACTGGCATTGTGGGGAGTGAAGGTTTGTCAGTCCCTTTGAGGAGCAGGACCTAGCCGGTCTTTTATTGGAACCCTTTCTGTTGTGCTGCGCTTGTTGCTAGTCTCCTTATTGTTGTCCCTATCTCTTTCTTTCCTCTTTTCCCCTATTTTGGAGGACTCATCTCGTCTGGCCCTTGTGATGTCTTCAGCATTCATGTATTTTTGGTGGACGCTTCATCACTGAGAAGAGGAAGCTTGACAAGCGGAGGCCTCCCAAGAAGGCGGTCATTCACTTTGTCATCGGGCTCATCGACTTAGAGTACCTCCTCGTTAAAACGAGTGAGGTAGCTCCTCAGGCTCTCCTCTCGGTCCTATTTTATGCTAAGCAGGTGGGTAACAGGCTTCAGGTGGCGATGCCCACTAATGAAATGTGATACGAACGACATGCTTAGCTTAGCAAAGGAGGCAATGGAGGCTGGGAAGAGCTTGACGAACCATTGTTAGGTAGACCCCTTTAATGTGGTTGGGAACGCCCTGCACATGATTTCGTTTGGGATGTTGTGCAGTTGCATCAGAGTTTTGTTGGTGTCAAGATGGTCTAGTGGATCCTTCGTTCCGTCAAAGGTCTCCACGGAAGGCATTTTAAATTTTTGAGGGAGGGGGTAGTTTGCTATGTCAGGTTTGAAAGGCGTGTCTGTTCGCCTTACTAGGTAGTCCACTGTCTCAGGTCCTTACGCCATTATGACATTGAAGATGTCACTTAGTTGATTTTGCACTTCCTTAATTTTCTCCTCCCAATAATTGGGGTGCTCCTCTGGAATGATCATGGAAATGACTCTCATGCTTTATGCTTTGGTTTTCACCCTCATCTTCTTTGAGATGAGGGTCTTCACCATGGGAAACAATAGGAGGTGGATCATGATGGGCTCCCCTATTTGGGGCGCCTAGACCTGCATGGGCGCTTAGATGGGGAGCAGTAGGGTGTGGAGCTCCTTGATGTCTAGTGCGTGAAGCTCCTTGAGGTCCTCCAAGTTGTGCTCCTCCTTGTCCGACGAGCATGAGTTGCAGGTTATGCTGGTTTTTGGCCACAAGCTGTTGCATGGTGTCCAACATTTGCTAGGGATTTGAGACTGGAGCATTTGGGACATGGTTGGTAGGTGGAGGAGCAACCTCCTCCTCTCGTGATGGATTATCCTCAGGTTGGTTTATGGATCTGGTAGTGATCGCCATTGGTTCAGCAAATGAAATGTTTGGAAGCGAGAATTTTGTTGTTCTCACAGACGGCGCCAAATTAATGATGCACAAAATGGCTCTGCATACCACTTGTCAAGTGATTGAAAATAAATGCAGTAATTAAAAGAAAAGAGAGTTGGAAGAGACAAGATTTATAGTGGTTCGGTCAACGTAACCTATGTCCATTTTTGAATGGACTTGGTCGCTTAGTACTTTATTAGCTCAAAGGTGTAGGGAGCAGAGAGTACAAACTTTTTAAAGGGAGCAGAGAGTCGTGCTCTGGTAAAATATGATCATGCTCATCTGCCCCCCAAGTGTTGGTGGGGCTTGCAATTTATAGTCACCCCCTAATAGATTGGGGTGACTTTGCAGCAACTAAACAACTATTTTGGTAAAGCTCACAACTTTTTTTTAATGGGCGAGGTGGTTGAGGTGCTCTCCACAAGATTCGGTTAGAGGTGAGATGAGGGCTGACTACTTCCAAGACGGTGAGGGTGTGGCTCCCGTATACTTTCTTGATGACGTGGTGTAGCTTTTTGATGAACCTGACTGGTCTTGGACTATATTGGGCTTAGTAGGTCCGTATAAAACTGGACTCTTAGTTAAGTTTGAACTTCCCTCCTGAATCGGGTTATTTGGGCTTGACCCCTCAGAAATAGCGTATTTTTCGTAATATGATAATATTTATTAAAAATATTATAAATTTTTTTCTATTACTTAAATAATTTTTTTCCCACAATTTTATAGATATTCTTGATTTGATTATAAATGCTATGTCTCTTTTTTTTTTCCTCATATTTTGATTTAATAAAATTACTATAATTTTTTTCCAATAAAAAATAGAAATTTTCCCCCACAATTTTTAACTAAACATTTCTCAAAAAAAAAAAAAAACCATTTTCGCCGGTCCACCACCAAAATTCCAAGTTGTTTCGGCGTTTACGTCGTTAATTTTTCGAGCAACGGTTCTGGGTCGCTGAGTTCCCCCATTCTCTCTCTCTCTACATGACTTGCAGGCATGAATAGGGCCTCAAAAGCAGCCCTAATCGACTCTCAGGTCGGCCCTCTTCACCTTAGGGCCGCTCTCTTTCACTCCACTCCTGTCTTGGAGCGCAGAAGACGGACCCATTGGGATTCTGTTAGTTCTCTCTCTCTCTCTCTCTCTCTCTCTCTCTACATACATCTATATACACACACACACATATATATATATATATATATATATACATAATTATATGTGTTTTCTGTGTTCATTTATATGTTTAAATATTGTTGCATAATTTTTCATGATTCAATTTGATTCCACGCTGAAATAGAGAATTGTAAATTGCTGAATTATACTAACAAAGATTTGGGCTTTTAGTCACCAACATACCAGACCCATACATCCATTTTCTGATTCTCTTGTTGGACAAAACTATGTATGTGACTTGATATAGAGTGAATTAGTTAAAGTTGAAGGTAATTGTGGGTTGAGATTGTTAGGAAAGATATGATTTTTTCTAATTAATAGAATGTGTGAAAGATGGCAAAGAAAGGCAACCCATGTACTGGTGAAATAATTGAAGAATATAAAAGAACAAAAAATACCTAAACTCTCAGCATACTGCCTTTCTCTCCTAAAAAATACTGCCTAGCAATCAACATGCATCTGTGTATCCTTAAAACCCAATAGAGCAAGAATTAAGAAGGATACATCGAAGTCTTTAAGCTCGAGTTCATGTCTTACCTTCTGTTCACCAGTTGCCTGTTCTCCTTTCTGATATTCTGTAAAAGACAAAGCAGAGTTGCTTTTGATAATGATTTAGCTCCCCATTAAAGACAATGAGGGAATTTGAGTGCTGATGGTGCAGTAGCTAACTGCCACTTTCTAAGTTAATTCATTAGGTGTGTCACCTTCTACTCTACTAGTAGAAAAGGATCCACCATTTTCTTTCTGATAAGCCTCACAGCTAGGGGTCTTGACAAAGTCCCTGCAGCTGTGCAGTTCAATCACCTTTCTTAGCATGATTTAGCTAACACAAAACATATATTGTGGCAAGCTCCGCTGTGAATTAAAGAAGATGCCATTCCATAAAATATGCCACTAAATGGTGCATTTTTCAAAAAGATTCTGAGTTTTAGTACAAACAACTTTGGGAGTTGTGCATGTGCTTTTTGGGATTTGTATATAGGCAGAAAAGGGCATGAGCCATATATCACGTAAGGGAACACAGTGTCAAACATTATTTACTGGGTCTCTCATTTTAAGGGGGTTCCATCAAGTTTCACTCTCATGTTTCCACATTGAATGACATGCTTTGTGTTTTCTAGAGATTTTGATTGGTGTTAGAATGAAATTGAAATGGTTTTTCGTTGTATGAAACAAGAAAAGGCATGTCAATAACCATATAGTTTGTCTTGAAGTCGTTTCATGAGTTCTGCCATAGGCTTGTATTAGTGGCTTTGGAATTGTGGTGGGTCACAAATCAATTGTTTTACAGGCTTTATGATGCTTGGAGACTTGTCAATGATGTAATCTCTTCCTTGACAAAATTTAGAATAGTGCTTTCTGGTTGATACAGTGGTGTCCTTGACCCATTTGGATTCGGGACTTATCCCTGGCTTCTGATTTTTCATGGGATTATTTTTCACTGGAGTTGGTAGGGACCATTTTTGCTAACACTTTTTATACCTCATTGTTAGTTAAGTACTAACTGTAAGATCTTAAGAGGCAACCCTTGACTGATTCTTAAGGTGTCTATGCATTTAAGCATGCCTTGTTTAAATCTCTGGTAGTCTTTTGTAATTTTGTAAATTTGTGGTGAACACCATAATTGTCAAATTGCAAATTGTATCGTGAATCGGAATTCTAAATTTTCGAATCGTGAATCGTAAGATTCGACACAAAATTTGAACAAAAATAAAAAATAATGCTACATATTTAAAATAGACAAGATATTGAATATTGAACATTATTGCATTCTAAAAATAATTAATTGACATAATCATGTTGTCTAAATGGAAAGACGCTAATCTTTTACTTCATTTTCGTCTTTTGTTTAATCATTTTTAAATTCAAAAACTTGAAAAAAAAATTCATTAAAAAATTATGGCTATTCAAGAACCAAAATAGTGACACCCAATATAGATTAATTTACAAACATGAATAGAAAAAGAACAAATAAGAAAATTAATTGAGAGAAAACATGCAGGTCAACATTTTGAAATAAAAAAATAGAACTTAACAAACTACCTACAAAAGAATTGAGAACAAAAATCAACCGATGATGCGAGAGCGTTAGCCGTGAACTTTAACTTTAGCCAACACAAGATGAGCTTTAGATGACGTCAAAGAGAGAATGAGCAAAGATGTTGAGTTTTTATTAGGGCGTGAGTTCCTCTATAAACAAAACCAAATTGTTTTACTATTTAGCAGACAAAATAACGTTGTTTTGTCAAAAAATTAGGTTTTAAAAAAAGGTGGTTGAATCGTGTGATTCATGAGATATGAATCGAATCGTATGATTAAGGTGCGATTTAACTCTAAAACTATTCTCATATCAGATACGAATTGTTTTGTACCTGTATTGAATCGAATCGTATGAATCGAATCGCGAATCGTTCAATTTTGATAACTATGGTGAACACACATTGCAGTCAAAAGGACATTGATAGCAATCATTTTTATCTTCTTTTTCGTTAGTATATTCTATCATGGATGTTATATTTGAATGGGGCACACTCCATATCATCGGTGTTTTAGTGTTTCGTGGTTATAATTGACCACAAAATTCTCACATTTTTTGGACTACATAAAGTTCTCATTTGTGTCGAGACAAATCTGTTCATATATGTCTACTGGAAGAAAATAATGGTGTCAAAGGAGGTTCATATTTTGTAATAACATTGGTGATGATGCGAATTAAGTGGGCAACTCATTGGCAAACATATCTTTGCATCATCTTCTGTGTTATGTTTTCTGTTGTGTTCCCATCTAGTGAAGTTATCGATTACGTATCCTTCCAGTAAATTAAACATACACGCATTTGTCTTCTATTCATGTACAAAATTATTTATTTTTTGTGATGTTGAGTTCATTTTTAATGCTGCCTGTATTTGTTTATTTGCAGAGATGTAACGCTTATTCCAAAAGGTTCAGAAAGTTGAACACAAAACAAACATTACTGCGCAATGTCAGTGAATTTGCAGAGCACCTATTTCAGGTTACTTGTGAAAGATTAAACATTCTGTAATGATTCCTGTCGCTCAGCGTCTTCCCCTCCCTTTTTTATGCTCGAGGTTTTTTTTGTGCTGCATGTGTGGGTTCAGTTGGGCAGGGAAGGGGGTTGGTGTTGGGTTTGAGATTGGGGATTTGATGTCAGTATTGTATGGAGACAAAATATCCGGTCAAATTTGTGTGCGCGCATTTGTTTGTGAAAAGGATATATAGTTATTGTTGTGGCTTATGAGTGAGGATGAGGTTGGCTCAAAACAATGCAGATAATATCTTAAGAAAAGTGGTTGGTGAGGTAGATATTGTGGAGTGTAAGTGCCATTGGTTGGCATCTCCAACCCACACTTCAATTAATATCTTGTTATAAATAGGTGTCCTTGAGAGCATCAGCTTCAAAAGTACAGGAAGTCAAGTTTATGGTGAATGCCATCAATGTGCATATTTAATTGTAACGCATAGAACAAGTAGACCGTAGATTGTAGGGGATGATTTGAAGAATTGTGATAGAATTGGTCCTGATGAGTGATCATCTGATGCAAAAATTGGATAAGAAGTCTCTGCTTCCCACTGTGATTGTATGAAAAGGGAAAAAAGACATTAAAATTTTTTACATAGTTTGCTTCAGTTAGAGCAAGAGATAAATTGATTGGCTGTTTAAGAGATTGGAATTAATAATTAAGGCGAGACTCTTAAAAGAGAATGGAGCAAGTAGTGAAAAGTTACTAATAAAGTTGAACTTGACATGACTTTCAATGTACAATATATAGAGTTAACCAGCATTCAAATTGTTTTATCTCAGATATTCATAGAAGTTTGGTATTCAATGTCTGGTTCCTGTCAGCTCTCTTTCATATTACATTTTGTCAGGCTGCTTCTTGTTCTTGCTGAAGTGTTCATAATTATTGGGACTCTATGCAGTCCATATTAATATTTTTTTAAGTAGAACAGTGTTAAACTTTTTTCTTGATGATTTTTTCGAGGTTTCAGAGGTGGCAGTATGATCATGAAGAGTTTGACCCGTCTTCAAGGCAAGGCAGCTCATGGTTTAGACAGGAGTATCAATCTAATGGATCCAAAGGGAGCAGGACTAGTAAAAAGGGACCCCAGTCATGGAATAGAAGTAAGTGCGCCTTGTTATATAATAAAGAACTAACCCGTTTAGGAAAAAAATTATGTTTCTTGAAGAACTGGCTATAGCAACATAACATCTCTTGGTATACCAGAGGTTAATGAGACCACTAGTTGAGGAGTCTCCACCTTGATGATCTAGAGTGAGACTTGCACAGTTTGTTTCTTTGAACCAAGTAGAAACTGAGAAAGGAGTTCAGATAAATGGGCATAATCTAGCATTGTTTACATGAAATTCAATACCATGGTGATACCAAATCATCAATGACACACGGTATGACTGATAATAATAAGGTTCCACGTGTACACGAAGGGGTTACTACATATATGTGTTGTCCATTTCATGTGTGTATCCAACACGGTCCATACCTATTTCTTGGGTGTATGAGACCTTATTAATTGGATGGTTATACCTCTTGTCACTGATAACGTGGTATCACCATTAGGTCCGTTACACTGTAAATGTTTGCGCTACATAATGAGTATTGCTGATTGAGTATTTCCTTCAACTCTTGAGAAACTGAGAAAGGACTTGAATAAATGGGCATTTACCGGATGAATATTGGATATGGTTCTCTTGAATGAGACATCTGATATTGAAGCCTTGAGGCACAAACAATTTAGAGTCTCTCTCTCTCTTTCTCTCTCCCTTACTGGGGATTTATAATTATTTAATTATGTTTAACTCTCATTCAGAAGGTTTCCAGTTCTGTGAAGATGATGACATCGAAGTTGAGACCATTTTCCGCTCTGCATTTGGGGGAAACAGACATTTCTATTGGTCGTTTACAAATGAAGAACCACCACAATGGAGGCATTCATCAGAATACTCTAACAGCTATAGGAATGCTTGGAAGCGCAGACTTGAGAATGAAGATGAATATGATTCCTCGACGGACTCAGACTGTTCGGAGTCAGATTTGACTTCAGAGCGGATAGCTCTTGGGTTGAGTGTATCAGGTCCTCTAAGTCTGGAAGATGTTAAAAATGCGTAAGTTCTTTTCAGGTTCTCTTTTTCTGACTTTCTCCAAGGTCTGGTAAAATAAATATACATATCCTTGTGTAGTAGATCTTCATTTCTTCATATTAGTTAAAAGAAGCACATTGTTCCTATGTTATGTGACTGCCAGCTGATCTCCCATTTTCAGATATCGAGCATGTGCATTGAAATGGCATCCAGATCGTCACCAGGGCTCTTCCAAGGTCTGTTTTCGTATGTGGTTTTAAGTTTTTACTTTCCATTTTCTTCTTACCTTGTTGTCAAGGTCCAATCCTGTAACAGTAGGCCAATAGGTCATCAGTATGTCATGCATGCCCTGTAACATTGGTAGGTGTTTTTGTATTTGAGCCATCATAGGTGAATGATAGGAGGATTTGCATCCACACATGTAAGATTTCCCTTTCCCCTTCATACTATGATATTGACCCTTCATCTTATAAAGTGAAGTCTTTGAGTGTCAAACAACTCAAACCCATGTCATAATATACAAATCTGGCTGGTTATGCTTGTTTGCGATGGCTCACTAACCAAACCTTTACTTTTGAAGGGTTTGAGAGGGCGGAAATTTCATGGTTTGATTTGTGGAGTATGGAGTTGGAGTGCAAGAGAGATTAAGAATGCGAACCCCTAGTGAACTAACTGTCCTCCCAATCTTTTTTTTTTTTGGTTTTTTGATTTTACACCTTCCAAGCCCATTTCCTATGCTGGAAGCTTGTTCTGGAAATTCATATTTTTGATTATGGGTGCATGCTTTGTTTATTTCACGATTGGTGAACATGGAAGTTGTCCATCCATGTCATCAACATTTGTTATTGTAATAATTATCTGTTGTGAGTGATCACCACTATTTCATTGGTCCTAACAAATTGACAATGCGATATACATGAACAGGCTATTGCTGAAGAGAAATTCAAGGTCTGCAGCACCGCATATCAATCTTTATGTGACAAGCTGGTTTTAAATTGATGTTTTTTTGCTGAAGCACGCCGATCTTAACCCTAGATTTGTTGTGGCATGTGGGAGAACACAATTCCAATTCTGATGTAGTTAAGTTATTGTACTCAATTTAGTTTAGGAATTTGTCATAGGAAACCCTTGCAGGAATTGTGCGTCTGATCTCTTGAGAGGTGGCACACTGCACAATAATTTCGATCGTGGCGAGAACATGCTGTTTCATGTTGCCCCATATATGTACTAGTAAGTATTCTTCCAATCTAAATGTTTATTTTCTCTTAAGAATGTATAGACATTATGGTAGTTTACTCTGCCATTTTTCACTTGACAGCTTGAAAACTTCAGTTTAGAACATGTACTTTAGTTAGTATCAAGTTTAAGACCATCAAATTGTTTGTGTGCAAGCTGAGAAGTTTTTATTCAGCAAATTACACATAAGAAGGGGGTATTCAAGGATCAAAATTTTGTTTCGGTACATCAAAGAAATATTTTTTTAAAATGTTGGTTGAATTATATTAAAATATCTTAAAACGTTCTAAAATAATTATGTAAATGCATTGAAACATTAGAAAACACCTCGAAGTATTAAAATTTTGATTTTATCACTGATTTATCTCGGTTTTCTTAAAAATGAAAATGTTTTAGACGTTTCAATTGTTTCAAAACGAAATTTTGATCATTCAGGGTATTGGAGAGAATTGGGTTGCATGGTTAGCTGCAGGCTGGTTCGAGTAGACCCAGAACTTGCATTTTCCACTTCTGTTGCATGCACTTGCATTGTTTTTTTCAATCTGACTGGTCGATTCAGTTGCTATAGGAAGAAGACTTTTACTATTTGTGATTTCAGTATTAGGCGACGCACATGAAATATTAGGGAAAAAAAAAAAGTAGGATAGAAAAAAGTTGGACATGACGAGAGATTAAATTCATAACACGATATTGCGGAAAAATGACTTAGTCGAGTTGTCTGAGAATCTATAAGCTGATTATGTTCATGATGAGAAAAGATGATGAAATATAAATTATTTTCACGAAAATCACTTTTAAAAAGAATTTATACCCCAAAAATTTTTTGTTCATGACATTTTTTTCAAATATTGTGAACTATTTATAAAAGCCAAAAAATAATATACTCTACTAAATGTTTTTCCTGGCTGCAATTATTATTTTTTATTTATACAAAAAATAAAGATTAGTTTTATATAAGGAAAACTAATATAACTTTTTTTTGGGCCCTTTTGGCATTTTGGGATCAAGTGGGTTCTCTTCTTTCTTGATCAAAATTAAATGCATATAATTAAGTGAATGAATATTGAAACGTTTGTAATAACTCGTGCCTGGAGGCATGATACAATATAAAAATCGAACTTTTCAAAAAATTGAATTCATTATATCAAATCACAATAATTATTTTTTTTTATAAAAACAAATGGACAATTACTAGTCTAAACTAGTATGTCTACATAATTACTAGTTATAAAACATACATGAAAGTACGATGTAACATAAAATTCAATCACCAAAAAAGTTGATTCCATTGTATTAAATTAAATTTTTTTTATTCTCTTTCTTTAATTACATGATTTGAAATTAATGTTTACCTATTATTTAAAAAAATGACAATTTTTTCTTAAAATACATAACCTTAAAAATATGTCATTGCATGTATATTATTGCACATGAACAATAACTAAAATAAAAATTATATTGAGTTGCAAGTTAATAAAAAATTAAATAATTTAAATTGTGATAGAAATGGACAAAAAAATATTAGCTATCTTCTTAGATAAATAATCATGTTTTATTATTTGACGATAAATTATTGGAACTTATCAAAAGAATAATAATCTTTTCGAGGGCATGATATTTTTGTATAAAAGTAAATTATTTTTGAGTTTAAATGATGTAAGTGTTTAATAAATGATTATAGGTATTTATAATTTATTTTATAAGATAAGTTAAAAAGATTTAGGATAAAATTATGCTATTTAAATTTATTTATCAAATTTTTTATTTTAAATTCTGTATCAAAATTCTGTACATTAAATATTTGGTAGAGTTAGTGGCCTACCAATTCAACAACGCACACCGATTTAAAATATAAAATTTAATAAATAATTTAGTAAACATATCATTGCACAATGATTTGTTTTATTTTTCTATCTTCTTATATATTTTCCAATTGAAAAATGGTTGAGACATAGCTTCAAGATGCGTGACGTGTCAATGGCTCATTAGCTAATTATAGTCGATGAGAAAGACGGTATCAGGGCCCCACTTTTCATCATACGTCGAAAATTCCACTTATTTGTTATTATATTTCCGTTTGCTTGACCCGAGTCTTCGCCACGCGCTTCCTTTTTCTAACAGACGCAGTTTCTCACTCGCTCCTCACCCACAACCGATCATTCTATTACGTTTCAGAGCATCCATGTCAGTCTGTTAAGCCCTAATTCTCTCTCTCTCTCTCTCTCTCTCCAGCATATCTACATATGTTTATGTAAATCTTGCTGTCATAGCTCTGATATCACCTTGTTGATGGATGGATCGTCTGGAAGGTCAACTTTTGCAGAGCCATAGTTTCATCTGAAGATCTCTATTGTGTCTCCATTTGGATCGTCAGTTGCCAATTGTTTGCAGATAAACAGTATTAATTGCCGATTTCGGAATCATATTGATGTAGTGGAGTATTCGTCGGAAATTTATTTAGTGGAGTATTGATTTTTGTAGAATTTGGTGAAAATTAGGGTTTTTAGCCAGGGAATTGCAGGCTTTTATTTGATTTAAATGGAGGATTCAAGAGTTTCGGAGCAAGATGATTCTAGGTTTCCTTACTTGAAGAAAAACACATCCTTTAATTATCAGAAATTAGAATCAGAATCGCCTCGGTCATTCAACAGCGATGTTAGATTTGGAGGAGCCAGTGATCGGAGATTCGCATTTTCGCGCCAAACTTCATTTCACCAATCGGCCGAACCTCACACGCCAGTATCGAAGAACACACAGAAGCCGCTGCTTTCTAGGACTCTGTCGAGCATTGATATACCGCCGAATGTTTATCCACCGGATAGGGGCGACAGGATATGGAAGGAAGAGAATAGGTATGTGGGAGATGGGACAGGTTCGATTCTGGAGTTTGTTTTGTCGGGTCTTAGAATTATTAGGTCAGGAAATCGGCCAATGAAGAGGTTGTTCGTGTTGATTTCACTCAACGTCGCTTATTCTACCGCTGAGTTGTGTATTGGCCTTTTCTCGGGACGTGTAGGTAAGAACATATTACCCTTCATTCATATTCTTTAGTGTGGATCAGTAAGTAGCGCACATTTATCTCCTTTCAGTACAGGTACTGTTCTTTAACTAGGAAGTAGGAATCAGTTATGAGAATTTCACTACTAATGAGCTTTTGAATTTGCAAAGTATACGCATTATCACTTGCTGTTGTTCTCTCACAGTTTTATTCCTTTACAGCGGGTTGGTGAAATGTAAATTGGAATTATAACAAGTCAGTCTGTTATAAAAAGTTATCACATTTACTCATGTGTAACATTGCATCCTATTTGGGCCTTGGCCTAGTGGTAAAGGTGGTGGTAATGAGGGAGCAGGCTTTAGTATTTGGATCCCATCAATTATTGCTTAACGAATATCTTAAAGCATTGCATCGCCAGCCAACAATTGTCCCTTAATCAATCTGCGTTGGTTCATATTATCTTTGCTTAGTTTTGATTAATTTATCTACTTTTTGTTGGTGTCATCTCAGGCTTGGTGTCTGATGCATTTCATTTGACGTTTGGATGCGGCCTCTTAACATTTTCATTGTTTGCTATGGTGGCCTCTCGGAAACATCCTGATCGAGTTTACACTTATGGGTAAGCTCAGATTTTTATTATTTATTTATTTTTTGATAGGTAATACTGATTTTATTAATAACAAGAAATAAGTAGCACAAAGTGAATGCAAGGGTGAAAAAGTAGTCCACACCTAATACAAAGTAACCATAACATTCTTACACAGACAAAAAAAACATAAAATCAGAAACTTATATCAACTACAAATAGCAGACCAGCTCCCCAAGATTCCAAAAAGGGCCATTGTCAAATTCCTTAGTTATCAATGCCCAAAAAGAAGCTAGAATATGGATACGACTCCACAATCCCTCAACCACCTTGCAATTATTCTAATATTTTTTTTTTGCAATTCTCTCCATCCAAATGCTCCAAATAGTAGCAAAAATTGCAAAATCCCAAAGAATTCATCCTTTGGTTTTATTTCCAAAGTCATGGCAGTCCACACAAAACATAACATAGAGGAGATGGTTCTTGGAGACAACTAACGAGGGCCAGCCATCTTAAAACACTTGCTCCATAAAGGCCAAGCAATTGGGTAATGTAAATATAGGTGATCCTCTCGCAATCCATCCTACACATAGCACACCATTGTGGTAACATACATGTGTTAGGTTTTCTTTTTTGAATCAAATCATTGGTATTAATGAATCTTTCCATGAGCGATAACCCAAGCACAAACTTGCACTTTTAAAGGTACCTTAGCCCTCCAAATTTTCAATGATGAATAAAAAATTGGGAGAGAAGAATTATCAATCAAGGAGACAAAAAGGGATTTACAACAAAAGGATCCTGTAGGGTCAAGGACCCCGATTTTCATTCTTTATGGCCATAAATGAAAGTAAGATACTTATAAAATTTGAAAATTTCAGTTTTAGTAAGCTTTGCGGTTGCCCTGTTTTCCTTAATCCCTTGGTGCTGGGGATAAATCATTGGGCACTTTGTAAATGTGGAATTAGACCAGCTTCTATCTAGGAAGGGGAAGACATTTGAGCAAATGTGTGGATGGATCTTGTTTTCGTTGGGGGGAAAAAGATTTTGTGGTTGATAACACCTCCTTAACATGCTGATCTGTTTACTATCAGTTTTTAAGTATATTTTAGCTCTGCTCCGACTTTCGTGTTGTTTAAATGGGTGGTGCCCATTTTCACACCTTCTCATAATATTTACATTTTTTTTTTGGGAGACTTGAACCCTTGACCTTAAGAAGGCAAACCTATATAAGATAAGGAGTACCATTGGACTAAAAACCCATTGGTACTTACATACAACTGTCTGATGAATTGGATCTTTAATTATGTCTTTGGCATAAAATGTGGACTTAACCATCTTAATTTGTTAATCAATGTTTTGCTTCTTTTTATACCAGGTACAAAAGGCTAGAGGTTCTGTCTGCTTTCACCAATGCTGTGAGTATATGGAATTTCCGCATGATTGCATTTGTTATTTGCACGTGTTTGCCTTTGTACTGAAGTAGCTTACTCTACTTATAGAATTTAGGCGACTTTTATAATGCTGATACAAGTACAGTGTGATTTAATATATTTGGGAAACAACCTTGTTTTTTCCTTTCGACGTGATACTTTTATTATTTTAAGATTACACAAATAGAGAGAGATAGAGGTGTCAAATTTTATATGTTAACACAAACACGTTAGTGACTTAGTGTTAGACAAGAATAACTTTTTTACTAATACTTTATTTTAGAACTAAATGTTTTTTATTGACTATAATATGACATGACACTAAAATGACATGATGCCAAAATGACATGGTACGAATAGGACACACATTCCTCCATTGACACCCTAGAGAGAGAGGCAACAAGTACCTTGTTAGATTTTCCTTTCGTTAGTGACTAAAGTGAGATAAGGATGACACTAATACTTCTACAACAATGACATAAAGCTACATTTTCTATGACTGTTCAACAAAGAAATATTTATTTATTCTTTTGGTTCCTGAAAATTTTGCTACAAAATTTACATGTATGCAGTTTCTTTTTGCACTACAATTTTTCTGGTTTCCATAACTCTCTCCCATGATCTATTTTTTCGTTCCTTTTTTTCACAAGTTTTTCAAGTTGTTACGTTGACAGAAACTATGTCTCATGATAATTTTTCCATTTGTCTGTCTCTCTACCTTATTGTTTTGGCAAATTGTATCTTCTGGGCTAATACGGCTATATTTTGATCATGCTGCATGTGTAGACAGCTGTTCCTTTTGTTTTTGTCGTTCTCCTTAGCTGTTGAAGCACTTCATGCGTTCATACAGGACGAGTCTGAGCACAAGTAAGTTATTTGCACCCACTTTGGTAAGCAAATGGGCTCCCTTGTCTGAATGCCATTATTGGAGCAACTGCATTGAAAAACTTTCCCACTCTTTGGTCTTAATTTTGTTATAATAAATACATACATTGTAAGTGCTTGGTGTTGTGTGTTAAGCATATCATTTTGTATTTACCAGATATGAATGGTCATAGTGTCATTTCATAACCCTTATGAGTCTTAAGCTTGATTAATACTCTTGGTTTTGCGTTACTTTTCTAAGGTTTCACATGTGAGATTAACAAGTGGCATTCTTTTGGTCTCTGTTCTGTTAAATTTGTTGGACTTTTGATTAAATTCGATCCATGTTTCCTGATACTCTAGTTATTAGGTTCCCTTAAGGGCCAGATGAGAAATATCCTTCGTCTAAGACATTGGCATAATATTTTTCTGAACAATCCAAAGGTAGTCCAATGGAGACGGATGAACTGTAAACTCAGACATCTTGAGTTCAAAACTTGACAATATCTTTCATGGCCAGGTCATGAGGGATAAATCCCTCATGAATTCCCCCAGTGTCAGTATGGATGACCTACTTTTGATCGGGTTGGATAAGAGATTAGTCGAGGTGCATAAGCTGGACCGGACACGCCAGCCCATAATACAAACAAATATAAGATTTTTTTGAACCATACATGTGATCGTTGAGACTTCCCGTTCCATGTCTTAGTATAGTAGAAGTTGCTAGATAACGCCGAGAGGAGGAGATTTTGTTGATTTCACTTTACTGGATAAGCACGTACGCACTTGTCTCTTCTCCTGTGTTAAAGAAGACACTGGAAAAGCCAGAAGGTACCATGCTTCTGTTTTTATTTTTTTTTATTTTTTTTTATTTTCTTTTATATCTTTTTTTTTTTTTGGGGGGGGGGCTCTTTGAAAAAAATGTTCCATAATGCTTGTGTTTTAATGTTAATTTGATATTAACCAACTTATATGTTTTGCTATAATGAATTGTAGTTCAAAGTTTATTATCATGTGAGGCATAAAACGTGATTTGTCTTTCATCTTTGGAAAAAGGATTATGCATGCATGCATAGAATTTTCTAGTTGTTTCTTCTGCAAAAAACTTATGTTGTTGTGCTTCCATGCATTGAATTTTATATTTGTTTTACTTTGATGGGTATATTTTGCTAACCCTGTTATATAAACATTAGCAGAAAACTTTGTGGATACCTGTTGAGTAGTATGCATAAATGTACTTTTCAATGTATTATGATACAAGATGCCATACGTTTGGCTCAATGAACTCTAGCAGTTGGTCAAAAAAAATACTGTCATGTAAATTTGTTATATATGTTAGGTATAGTACTTACATGCTTTAGTCTTTCAAAAATTATATTTCCACCTAGTCTACAAGGAGAAAGTTATCATAACAGAGTCACAGGTACATCGAGCTTCAATAAGAGAAGTTCCTTTTCTCTTTCTTGTGTTTCATTTTTAAAAGAAACCATGCTTAATATTGGGACTCATGTTCCATTTGTTAGGAAGGAATGCCATATATAATAATTATCCAATCATATCTCAATTCTAATGTTACAGTTAAGAAATGAGTACTTGATGCTTACTTTGTGAGTGAATATGCATATCACCCATTTCATATACTTGCCCATATTTTCTTTCTTTCATTGTTTTGAGGATTGAAATTTATAGATACTTGTAAAGTTTGACATATTTTTCAAAATATTTGAATTTGATTGGCTTCACAATTCATGATTTCACCACTATGCTGATGTGACAGCTGTATATGGCTATATGCCGAGGTCAATATATCTGCATTTCACTTGGAAACCAACAGATACATTGTATAATGGTACTGTTTCACATATTAGTGGTGGCACGTAATTTTTTCATTATGTTGGGATGCTCTCTTTTGGTTTTTGGTGCTTTCTTTGTGGGAACTTTCACTAGGATATTTTGTTTTGATTATTCTCAGAGGTTACTTATTATGATTTTTTTTAGGCACTACCTGATCGTTTCGGCCGTGACGAATTTGGTGGTGAATCTTATTGGCGTCGGGTTCTTTAGGAATTATGCTCGAATTAATCTTGGTTAGTATCTTGTTGCTATTTAGATTTTTTCCTGTCGTAACTAATTTCTGTGGTTTGTTGACGTAGGCAGTGCTTTTATTTTTTTCTCCTCATGTTTCTTGTCCTCATACTAGAAGGAGACTTACCTACTTTAGTCCCCGTCAATTGGGAGTGCTAGACAGAGTGGACTGTGTACATACCTAACTTTTGTGCTATTTATTTTATTTTATTTTCTTTTTTTGGGGGGAGGGGAAGAGGGAGGGGGAGAGAGAAGGGGAAGGGGAAAGGGGAGGGGGATTTGATCTCTTGACCTTAAGAAGGCAAAACTTTTACAAGACAAGGAGTACTATTGAACCAAAGGCCCATTGGTAACTTTTGTGCTATTTGTAGATAGTAGCTACTCTCAAATTTAAACTCCCAACCTCAAGGTTATTGGGCCAAATTTTTATCTCTGAACCATTGGCCCCTTGTAGCCCTCCTACTAAAAGCAAAACTAATAAAAACAATCACAATAAGTTTATTTGGAAGGACATAAAAAATGGCTGAATTGGAGACTATGCCAGTTTTTTAAAACATGGTCATGAAAGGATATTGGTTGCCATTACTTTTGAGCACTACTGCAGGACTGCTTTGTTTGTCGCAAGAACTCATTGGTGTTTTGGTTTGTTTTGAAGCTTACAGAACTAATTTTGTTACTTGATTATACGAATCGGTGCCACTCAAATTACAAACTAAACATGTTAGTGTTCGAACTGTGATTTCTGATGATATTATGAGAGACACCAATAAACAGATAGCTGCAAGTGAGAAGTGGGGGGTAACTGAATCTTTAGGAGAGAGACATGTTGAGAGAAGGAGCATGCACATAGCATGTGCCTCTAATAGTAACAGAATGCTACTTTGGGATACATAGTTGGAAGTCTATAAAATAGATTTAAAATTACAGTCCACTTCTGGAACGATCCAAATTTGCCCCATTTGGGAAAAGAAAAATAATAAAGCTCTATCTCATTTTGGTTTTTAGACTATAGAATTGTTTAGGTAGTTGAACTTGGTTGCGATATATTAGTCTTTGAGGCAAGTTTCTTATGGTCCAATGAAAATGGTGGGCTGCATGGGATAGCCCTTTCCTTGCCTAGAAACTCCTTGAATGGATGAAGGCTGGATTTGATTGTTGGTTTCAGTTACTAGTAGTTCGGGTCTGCCTGCTAAAACTCCTTCTGACTTTGAAGGTTGGTGTTGTCTAACAACTGATGGGGGAGTGGATAAGCAAAATAGGGAGTGGAAGTGGATTCTCCTATAAGCCAAATGCCAACAGCTGGTTGGACTAAATTCTAGTAGTGTTGGTTGAACCCATTTGAACCTTGACCAACCAGGATGTACAACCTGATCTGTTGCCCTCTATTGTCAAAAATATGTATGATAGGATCCCATTACCCAGTTACATGGATTTAGGAGGAGTGAAAAATGTTTTCTCATCCTTGTTGCTCTGTGAAGCCAGAGAAATAATACATGGCCTGGGGTATGTCTAAATGGCTTTCATCGTTAGATGCCTCCTTTTTTTGTTTTTAAGTTGTTAATGCATTGTGCAGTATAACCTATTTTCCTTTCAAACTATTCCTCTCATTTTGCATGTCTACTTGAAGTTTATAGGACAGCTGAAGATATGAACTACCACTCAGTTTGCCTGCATGTTCTTGCTGATTCAGTTCGCAGGTATCATTCCTCTCTCTCTCTCTCTCTCTCTCTCTCTCTCTCTCACCCACACACACACACGCACGCACGCACCCACCCCCCCACCCACACACTTTTTCTATCTAGCATGGGTGCATTCATGACTTGTAATTCATAGTCCTCTTTTCTTTTTCGTCAATGTTTTCTTCCTAGATCCCTGTTGAGCTGGTGTGCATTGTATTGTTTCTCAGTGCAGGTTTGATCTTGGCATCCTGGTTATTGACTCTTGGGTAATGCCTCTGGTTTTCGATTGATGCATCTGCTTTAGTTTATAATAGTGTTGTGCACTGATAAAAAAAAAAAAAAACAAAAAACAAGAAAACACAAGATAACTTTCTTCTCATTCACTTGAATTTGTTGGTTTCCAGGGTTAAGAATGCTGAAGTTTTGTGTTTAGGACTAGTTTCAGTGGCAGTATTTATGATTGTCATGCCACTTTTTAAAACGACTGGTGGCATCTTGCTTCAAATGGCACCCCCTAGCATTCCATCCTCAGCTTTGAGCAAATGTCGGAGACAGGTAAATGTCCTTCCTTCTTTATCCGAAGTTGGTGTTGTATGAAAGAAGATATTATATCTGGCTGATTACCTGATAGTGTTCTAATATTTTGTGCTTAGGTCACTTCTCGTGAAGATGTTCTGGAAGTGTCTCAAGCTCGTTTCTGGGAATTGGTGCCAGGTCATGTTGTTGGATCAGTCATGCTGCAGGTAATATTATAGATTTGTTGCTTCATACATGTAGTCCATGTAGATCCGCCATGCTATACGCATGTACACACACACACACACTATTCTCAAACTCACACACCCACGCTCTTTTTCCACACCTAATTTGGTGGATAACATTGACAGGTGAAGGACAGAATGGATGATTGCCAATTACTTCAATACGTTCATGATTTGCACCATGATTTGGGGGTACAGGATTTGACCGTTCAAACAGACTATGCCTGAACCTCATCTCCTTCTACTGGGTTCTTTGATGGTGGTCGGTAACAACTTTACGATTAAGTCTTATTACACATGGATTTTGTTTTGCATTCTTGGCACAAAGTGTGTTACTGTTAGAGCCGGATGTAACATATATTCCACAGTGAAAAGATAGATGACTCCGGAAAAAAAACAATACTTTACCCTATCTTTATCATTATCGTATTCTAATTTTGAGGGAATAACTGTAGGTTATTTAGTTGTGAGTGGTATTGTTATTTTCTCATCTTCATCATAGCATTGCCTGTTATGTAGCTTTTACGATGTTGTAATGGAATACATGCGGGCACAGAATGGTATATATGCATTTTGGAAGCTCTCTAGAAAAATCTCTCTACGCTTATCCATTTAACTGCAGTCAATTACAGTGATGCTTAAATTTTCCATTTGTGCCCCTTCAAGTTTCCTTATACTTGTCCATTTTAATTGCAGTCGATCAAGCCTATCGGAGAAATTCCTTGGTAGAGTATTACGACTAGAATTCCAAAATTACAGTCATCTCGCTGTGGTTGGTGAATTTTATGCATTGTCACTTTTGCACTCACATATATTCTTATATTTTAAACTGTTGTCCCACCACCACCATCGCCTTTCTCTCGGTCCGTGCACCACAACCACCGAGTTTCTCTTGCCCTCCAAGCAGCACCACCTCCTTACTATACGTCTCTTCTCTATCCCTCTTTCTCTCCGTCTCCCTAGCCATCCATCACCATCATCCCTCTTCTCCTCTTTTATTTATCTTGCTCCCAGTCCCACGTGCACATGGCCAATAAGTGGAGGCCAAGATGTAGTCCACAACCACCTTGAGCCCCACCATCACCTCTTCACCTTCCGATCCAGACACACCACCTTTGTCTCACCCCAACCCCTCTCCGTCTCTATTCACGATCTGTGGAAAATATGCTCCAACAGCTACAAACATCGGGCACTGGGTTCGATTTCTATAATACATGAACCCAGAGTCCAAGTCAATCGACTGCTCCTGAGTTTATTTTGTTGAATTCATTGTTGTTAAATCAAATGGTTTCTTTTATTAAATTGTTTGGAAATGAGATATTTTGGATTAAATGAATTTGTAACTGGGTTTTTGATTTGGGAGTGTGTATTTTGTGGTAGTGTAGGTAATGACAGGGCCAAAGGAGAACAGTTGTGATGAACTCGTGGGCTTTCATTTTTTTTTTTTTTTTTTTGGGGTAAAAGAACAGGTTCGTGTCCTAAAATATATATTTTACAGCAGCAAAATCAAACGGTCTGTTCGCAGATGAGAGAATTCATTATTAAATCATCATGTTTTAAGGGGTGAGATTATAATTTCAAAAATAGCAAGGAGTACCTTGAAACTATCATAGACATGGAGTGCCTTTGTAGTTATCCCTCCCTCCTTTCTAACTGGCAGTTTTTCCATATAAAGAAGATTCTAAAATGGATTAGTCGACGATAGACTTTATATAAACTCATTTTAGTGTCATTATTATCTAAGAAAAGCATAACAAATAAACTGATTGATTTTACGCATTATAGTAATTACCTTGTTATATCATTCAATAATCACAAAGTAGAATTCACTTTGTCCATGTGTAAGTTTATTATTGGATAGTGACACCATATATTAATAATAACATGGTATAACCGTTATACCTAATATTTACACCAATTATACACATTAACATGTACACAAATATAATACAATTCTAACACAACTCAAATTACAAAATAATGCAATCAATTAACAACCCATGATATTGGAAGAAAATACATTTTTTTTTTCATTCTTTGATCTAGTATTGTTTCAATTATTGTATAGTTAAATAGTTCCTTATTAAAACAAAGATGACACCAACACGACATGAACTCAGAATAACATGACCAGGAAATGACACAAGCCAACTCGGTTGACATTCTTTCGAAAAACAACTGTGGTTTGCGACCTTCAAGCTCAGAAGACATGGGCAACGCAATGTAGATTTTGGTGATATGCAAGTTTCACATAATGTCCCACAAAGCACATACTATCATCAAAGTTAAAGTGAGAAATAACATGTCTTGAAGTAATAACTTTATTAAGCAAAGCAGCACATAGTAAAACCCTGAGCTGTTTCAAAGGTTTCAAGGCAGATGAGGGAGTTGTCGATGCAAATGCACTTCTTAAGAGCCTGTTGTCATCATTATCAACAAAAAAATGTTCGGAGTCCGGCAAAGACTCTTGAAATAGTTTCCTCTTTTCGTGGATTAATCAAACATTAGAATTGCATACCATAGAAGTATATCGCTATTACAGAGTAAAAAAAGAAAGTAGATCGTCTTGAGTTTATCATATCCAGGAAGAAGTTAGTTACACCAACGAAGATGTAGTAAAAGTTCTGCTGAAGCAATGAACACATTTTGTATCACAGAAACTGATGATCTTGTCCCTTATTGCAAAGCCACATGCAGGTAATGTTGTGTTGGAAAATCTGTAAACTTTGGCACCCATCACCTATCTAATTCATGTACACGTGATGCTAATCTAGGCGTATTACTTTTGCTACACTGACCTTGCAAAGAAACGGAGGATACAAAAAGGAGGTCATTTTATTTAACTCGATCCACTTCTTTATAAAGAAACATGACTTCAGGGGGAGTTGGATCATGCTATTTCTTGGTAATTTGATTGTTTAGGAACTCCAGCACAGAAAGGCGCTGCAAGCAGAAACAAAGTATCAATCAATTTTGGTAATTTTGTCATAAATGTTTTAAAGCCGAGCAGACAGTAATCTTACACGTTGCTCAAGGCCAACTTCTTCAGACTTTAATGTCAAGGATTCCAACAATTTAATGGCTTCTTGAAATCCATCAATTGCCACATCTTCATTTCCGAGATTTCTATCCACATCAGCAACTTTTGCGAGAGAAGTAGCCACATCTAGAACCTAGAATTATGAGAGCAAAAAAGTATTAGATGAAGCTAAAGCAAGCAACTACATATCAAGTTTTTCACAACAAAAAGTTTATAAGAACTTGGGCACCTTGGCGTAAAAAATCACTTATTAGGAACTTGAGCAAGAAAAGTCTAACGAAAGAAGATCCAAGCAATCATATAATCAATTTCTTCACAGAAACATTCACCTGTTTCTTTCCACTAGGGGTTGAAATTAATATACTTTTCCATCTGGTTGATATTGGTTCCAGGTTCTTGTTAGAATCCCCGACTCATTTGAACTTGAGCAACACAAGTCTAGTGAAAGAAGATCCAAGGACTCATTATATCAATATCTTTACAGTAACATTCATATCTGTTTTTCCCCTAGGGGTAGAAAATACTATTCTTGTTCATCTGGCTGATAACTTCATCTAACAACGTTGGCTCTAGGTTCTTTCTAGTTAGAATCCCCCAGCTTATTTGAGGGGTCTACTGTTAAGCCAGGACGCGGGAAATCAACGGTGAAAATGTTCTTTCTTTCACCCAGGAAATCATTAATGAAAATAGTACTACATAAGCAAATCAATGTGGGATATTCCATTCATGCTGATTCCTTAATTAACCAAATCTTTCCTTTCATTGTTCACCTACTTGAGATAGTTGTGAATGAAAAGGGATACTCAAATTAAGAGTAGAACCCCGTATATATATCCAAAAATAATACAGAGTGACTTAAACACCCTTGTAGTTTAGGCAAAATATAAAAATCATAGTAAGGGTACAAAAGGGAAAAGAAATCCTAATAAACCTAGACTATCTATACTCCAACACTCCCCCTCAAGCTAGGCGCAAAAATGTCAACTAAGCCAAGCTTGACAACGGAGTCCCGAAGAATAGACAGAGAGACAGGTTTGGTAAAAACATCCGCAACTTGATCACTGGTCCTCACAAACGATGGAGTAACAAGACCACTGCTGACCTTCTCCCGAAGAAAGTGAACATCGATCTCTATATGCTTCGTTCTCTCATGTAGTACAGAGTCAGAAGCGAGCTGAATAGCAGATTGATTATCACAATATAATGTGGATGGAGAGGTCACTGAAAAACCTAACTCGTCAAGAATTGATCGTAGCCAGATAATCTCACATGTGCCAAGTGCCAGTGCCCGATACTCTGCCTCTGCGGACGAGCGGGAGACAACTGCATGCTTCTTGCTCTTCCAAGAGATAAGATGAGTCCCTCGAAAAGCACAGAAACCCGTAGTAGATCGACCATCACATGCTCCCCCATAATCTGAATTTGAATAACAGGCTAGAGAACCGGTTTGAGATCCTGATGCATAAAACAACCCAAGTCCAGGACAAGACTTGAGGTACCGAAGAATATGATAAACTGTATCAAGATGAGGCTGACATGGCCTATGCATAAACTGACTAACTCGGCTGACTGCAAATGAAATGTCTGGCCTAGTATTGGCTAAGTAGATAAGTCTACCTACCAATCTTTGATAAACTGTCGGATCTTTCAACTCCTCACCTTCAGCAGTAAGCTTCAGGTTTGGAATCATAGGTGATGATGCCGGTTTGCACCCCAACATCCCAGTGTCTGAAAGAAGATCCAAAACATATTTTCTCTGAGAAAGAACAATACCTCTGCTTCTACGGGCAACCTCAATCCCAAGAAAGTATCGCAGAAATCCAAGATCCTTCACATCGAAGGCCTTCCCAAGGTCTATCTTGACCTGCGCAGTCCCAGAAACATCATCACCATTAATAATAATATCATCAACATATACCAGAAGGATGACACACTGTCCAGAAGTATTCCGTCGAATAAAGCAGGTATGATCAGAATGACACCTGGTGAACCCCAATCGTATGACTACATCACTGAAGCGAGAGAACCAGGCTCGTGGCGACTGTTTCAGTCCATAAAGAGACTTACGCAGTCGACATACCTTTCCAGCATACTCCCCCTCACCACGAAAGCTTGGTGGTGCATCCATATAAATAATCTCGTCCAGATCACCGTGAAGAAACACATTCTTCACATCTAATTGATGAAGAGGCCAAGAGTACTCCGCAGCCAGAGAGATAATTAACCGAACAGTAGTCAATTTTGCCACGGGGGCAAATGTAGCACCAAAATCACGACCTGGTACCTGAGTAAAGCCCTTCGCCACAAGTCTAGCCTTGTAACGATCAATAGTACCATCCGCAAGAAACTTCAGGGTGTAAACCCAACGACAGCCAACAGGCTTCACCCCTGAAGGTAAGGAGACAAGATCCCATGTATGATTACGCTGAAGAGCGTCCATCTCTGTCTGCATGGCAAGAACCCACTGGGGCTCCCGCATAGCTTCCGAAATAGAGCGAGGAACCAGCGTATCTGATAAGGCCATAGTATAAGCTCGAAATGTGGGAGACAGATTACCATAAGAAACATAAGCAGAGATCGGATATAAAATCTTGGCGGTCCAACCATATCGATCAACTGGACGGCGATCACGCCTTGGATAACGACGCCCTAAATCATCGTCCTCTACTGGTAATATCTTATCAGGTAAAGTAACTGGCTCAGCACCTGTAATCTCATCAGTACTAACAACAGGTGCATCAATATGCTCAACAAACTGAGAAGTATTACCTGCATCGCCTGAGGTAGAGGGGATATCAGTAGGGTGATGAGAGCGAGGACAACGAGCATACACCTGCAAAGGAAGAGAGACTGGTAACTCTGTACTGACAGGGATGAGTGACTCTTTTGGAGGAAAAACGGATGACCCTGTAAGGATAGTGATCAATGACTCTGACTCTTGTGGTAATGGAAAATCAAAGGGAGTATCATCAACTGGAGGGGCAGACAAAGGACTGAAAGGAAAATAAGGAATATGCTCAAGAAAGGTAACATCTAGACTGTGATACATACGACGCCTAATAGGATCATAACATCGATACCCCTTAGATTGATGACAATAGCCCACAAAGATACAACGAATCGCTTTATCATCAAGTTTATGACGAGTAGGAGACCGATCCTGAACAAAACATGTGCATCCAAAAACACGAGGGAGAACCGGAAAAAGTGTCCGCTCATGAAATAAGACCTGTAAGGGAGCCTTATGCTGAAGAACACGACTCGGCGTACGATTGCACAGAAAGGTAGAAGTCAAAACAGCAAAATGCCAATAAGATTTTGGTACCCTCATGCCTCTAAGCAGACAACGTACCATCCCTATCAAACTCCTATTTTTCCTCTCAGCAACACCATTTTGCTCAGGAGTATATGGACAAGTGAGTTGCTGAAGGATACCTTGAGAAGAAAGGTAAGACACTAAAGCATCAGACACATATTCTTTGGCATTATCCGAACGAAGAGCACGAACAATGACATCGAATTGTGTCTTAATCATCTGTAAAAACTGAGTGATTATAGGGAGCACATCAGACTTCCTATGCAAAAGGTAGACCCAAGTACAACGGGTATGATCATCTATAAATGTCACATAATATCTGGCACCTGACAGAGCAGTAACGGGAGAGGGTCCCCAAATATCAGAGTGTATTAGGTCAAATGGCTTGGGTGACTGGTGCATGCGAGGAATATAATTGGCCCTAACATGTTTTGATAGGGAACAGATAACGCAATCAAGTTTACCACCAACACAAGCATTACTCAAAGCAGGAAACAACATACATAAATATTTAAAATTTGTATGTCCAAAACGGTCATGCCACAATTGAACAGTTTGTGACGAAAAATCATAACGACAACTACTAGGTAAAATACTAGCATGCAAGCTAGGAACAGAAAAAGACAAAGCAGGTGCAGGTGAAGGAATTGGTGAAACTGGAGATGGATTGCCAAGATAATACAGTCCATCTTTCTCATGTCCCTTGATAATAATCCTCCTGGTACTCAGGTCCTGCAAATAACACGAATCAGATAAGAATACAACCGCACAGTGAAAATCTCGGGCTAACTGATGTACAGATAATAGATTCATGGCCAACTTTGGCGCATGAAAAACCGAATGTAATGTAAGGCCATCTGGGAGACGGACTGTACCCCTACTAACAATAGGGGCATGTGTTCCATCTGCTAACTGAACCTGTGTATGTAATGGCTAGTCAAAAGTGGTGAAGTGATGGGCCTCACCAGTCATGTGACCATTCGCACCCGAGTCCAACATCCAAAGGGGAGATGAACTGGCACAAGCGTGAAAGGCACGAGATATACCTGTAGTGGTGACAGCAGCAGTAGACAGACTCTGAGAAGTCAGAGCAGACATAAGTATATCTAATCGGGAAGTGATAGCTTCCATATCACTTTGCCAAGGAGGAGCAGTAGCAGGAGTGGCGGTAGTGGGCGGTGGTACCTCAGCAATAGCAACAGTACGGCTGCGAGAAGGTGGCTTAAGCTCTGGATGGAGCTTCCAGCAAGTAGCCCTGAGATGTCCTGGTCGGCCACAATAATCACATTGACGGGAATTCCCCCGTCTGCGCTGATCTAGGGCGCCCTGACGGCGTTGCCCATCCCTGACTAAGGATCCTGAACGGGACCCTACAGCAGCTGCAAGGGCCATCTGGTCAATCGAAGGAGTCAAAGCTGCAACTGGAAGTGATGCAATACGGACTCGACGCTCATGCTGCTCAATCATCCCATACACCTCATAAAGAGAAGGAAATGTCAACATCGACAAGATCTGAGAACGAGGTCCCTCAAACTCATCACGAAGCCCCATAAGGAACTTGTGAATCCTATCCTCCTGCTCTCGAGTATGCAAGAATGCTGCTCCCTCGGGCTCTATCTTCGGAATAGCAACAAGAGGACGTAGAGACTCATACTCAAGCCAGCGCTGGGTCAAATAGCCATAATAATCCTGAACGGTCATATCTCCCTGTCGAGCATATGAGAGCTCCTGAGAAAGCTCATAAACACGAACTCCCCGTCCTGACTGAGAATACATCTCTGATAATGCGCTCCATAGCTTCGGAACAGAGCTATGAAACTGGTGGATCCTGCAAACAGAGGGCTCCATTGAGCCAAATAACCATCCAAGAATGGCACAGTTTTCAGAGAACCATGCAGAATATCCAGGGTCGGCATCAGCTGGCTTTGGGTGAGATCCCGTCGGCCAACCAAGCTTTCCTACACGGCCTAAGAAAAGCTGGAATGAGCGTGACCACTCAGCGAAGTTACGACCATTCAACAATTGTGCCGTAACTTTTTGAGAGATCATGCCCGGTAATGCTGGTAATGCAACTGTGCTAGTAGGCACTGTATACTGGTCAAACATAAAAGTGGAAGTACCCATAGATGTCTCAACGGTAGAGGTGTCAACAGTAGGGTTCTCAAGTCCCTCAGTAGTAGCCATATCAACAACAATACTAGGGCACCCGTAACAGAAAAATAACTCTAAGATAAATAGAGGAATAAAATAAGGGAGAACAATATACCTTCAGTCGAACAGTAGCGACAAATAAGGAAGGTCCAAAAAAAAAAAAAAAAAAACTCCCAAATAATCAAGTCACGGTGCCCAGAAATCCAAAATATATAAATAAGTGATCTACTGCATCAAGAGCAAATCAACAACCCCTCATAAAAAAAAAAATCCTAGATATAACAGTGAGTTGGGTTTATTGGTTGGCAGTGGGCTGGGTATGGATTTAATATGTCGGTGGGGTGTATGTTGGGTATGGATTTAATATGTCGGCTGGACTGTGTTGGGTTGAGAATTGTTTTGGGTATGGATTTAATATGTCGGCTGGGCTGGGCTGTGTTGGGTCGGCTGGGCTGGACTATGTTGGGTTTATTGGCTGGGCTGGGCTGTGTTGGGTTTATTGGCTGGGCTGGGCTGTGTTGGGTTTTAATATGTCGGTGGAGTTTGGTGACGAGTTGGGTTTTAATATGTCGGTGGAGTTTGGTGAGGAGTTGGATTTTAATATGTCGGTGGAGTTTGATGTAGGATTTTCGCTTCAGTCGGTGTTTCGCTTCAGTCGGTGGACTGATTCGGTGATCGGTGATGTTGATGTTGGTTGTCGGTGGAGTTTGTCGGTGCTTTATGGCTGTCGGTGGTACCAGGCAGTAGCTTGTCTGGTTTTGTCGCTGGCGGTGTGGTCTGGTTCTGATGGGAGGCTGGGTTCCTTTGCTGGTTTGAGTGGGTCGATGGAATGGGCTGGTGTGTGGTTTTGTCGGTGGGGCTGCTGGACGGTGAAGCAGAGGTAGACGATTTTGGTTTGTCGGTTTTGCTGGTGGGCAGTGATGTCGGTGGCTGGTATGTGGGTTCTGTCGGTGGGGCTGCTGGACGGTGTAGCAGAGGTAGACGATGGAGTGGAGGCTTAAGTTAGAATTAGGGTTAGGGTTAATGGCTCTGATACCAACTTGAGATAGTTGTGAATGAAAAGGGATACTCAAATTAAGAGTAGAACCCCGTATATATATCCAAAAATAATACAGAGTGACTTAAACACCCTTGTAGTTTAGGCAAAATATAAAAATCATAGTAAGGGTACAAAAGGGAAAAGAAATCCTAATAAACCTAGACTATCTATACTCCAACACACCTAAAAAGTAAACTTAGTGAAGGAATAATTTTTTGAAATGCTTAATTCGACTGTTGAATGGAGGTATTACATGATTTGGGACGTACATGATTTTTTAAAATATAAGCATTTAGTGGTAATTGTGGTCAGTATACACCTATGGAACTGAGTCAACATAGTAATCATACTCACAAACATTGAGTATAACTTATATGATATATCACATAAGAGGAAAAACGGATGCTAACCTGAGATGGAACACTAGAATGACGCTTGATGGCATTACGACGAACATCTAAAGCCTGAAAGTAGTAAGATCTTGCTGCTTGAAGGTCTCCACCATAATATTTAAGATCACCAATTTTATTTAGCGAAACAGAGAGTGTATGTGTGATCTGCAAATATTTCACAAGATTAGGGAAGGCATGGTTTCATAAGCAGAAATATGCTTAACATTATACAGTTAGGGATGCAATACGATGAGCGAATGCAAGCTTCACTACGTAAACCAATGCCTTAACCACATCACTAATGTTTGATGCAATTACCTCCAAATCATCTGACGACACTTTCAAAAGGAAACTGACACTCTCCTCAAAATAAGTGACTGCAGAACCAGCATCTCCCATTGCTCGACTGTAATATATTATATGTATTAGTTTTTTTTTTCTTTTTCCTCAATTAAATATAAGAAATCAAGATCCATAACTGTTGTAAAATATCTATGAAGTGGTTAGATAACAAGGAAAGAAGTGTTCACAGAGATCAGCAAATTTCAACTGATGTCACATATATTCTTTAGATGGGACATCTGAAAATGACTAGCATAATTTACTTATCAAAAAAAAAAATGAAAAGCATAATCCACAAGGTAATGATACTGGATCTTAAACGTATAATGCAACAATTATGTAGCTAGTATTTAACTAATGGACTGACTTGCTAATTCAAAAATTTAGAATATGCCATAATAGCATCATCCACAATATCTTATGTGCTATAAAATCCAATCGCAAGTCTTCTCTCACTCTGTGGTGTTTTCCAATGGCATAAGTTCCAGAAAATTATACTGACGAACGAACTCAACAAATTTGTAGCATAAAATTCAGATTCCCACCAGGCAAAGAAATAAAAATCCTCCTTTTAACAAGTCAAATGAATATAAATTCCAGTGCAAATCAAATGTGAGACAGGGAAAGTTAAAAACTTTATCATGAAAAAGGTATTCACTTCCACATGTCTGTAGAAACTGCAACGGTTAGTTGGCCATAAAGCAAAGTTGGTGCCTAAGTGGCAAAGTTTGACATTCATCCTAGAAAATATTAATCTTGACGAAACTCATGACATCACTTTTCACTAATGCAACACAAAAGACAAGAAGGTACATCATTTATTTGAGCATAACTAGTTGTTTAGTGAAGTTTGATGAGCCAAAGACTCTGGCAGTCTGCCCCCTCAATACCAACGGAAAAAAGAAGAGAAGACTCAACTACATCACCTCTCACATTTCATGTTGTTCCAGGTATCACTTAACATAAGTGCAAAACAAATAATGCACAAATATGCTTTAGCTATAGCGAGCTTGGAGTTGATATCTCATCTTTATTTTCCTAAAGGCACTTCCTGTGTTGGCTTTATTTAAAAACTAAAGCAGCTTCATGTGACTAACTGGAAGAATCCTGAAGAAACCTTTCCAGATTCAAATCTGTTGGATCCAAAGTCAATTAAAAACCTTAAACTAAAAATTCCCCAGCTCTTGAAATTGAAGTTACCAAGTCGCCATCCCAAACTTTCTCATAGTGGCATCCCCTTCATACCAAACTAAATGAACCAAAAGCACATACTGTTTAACACCTCAACCAGTGCCCATGTATTTATAACTCGTACACTTGGCCAGCCAAAAAACCATAAACTTCACTAGGAAATGCATACAAAGAAAAATCTCAGATTGCAATGAGAGTAAAGAGAAAGAACATACCAACAATCACCAAGCATACCCAGAACTGCTCCTAGCTGTGAGCACAACTCTGATGTGTTGCCCATTCTTTCCATCTGTTCTCGGATGTCTTCCATGCATAGACTAAGTCTAAATTTGGCACTTTCTACATTATTGGCACGAAATGCCTACAATATAACAGCCAACAACTAAGTAGACATGGTCCCAGCAGAGGGGGATGCAATTCAAATACTTTCGGACAAAATAAACCAAGGAAAGGAAAGCAGGATCATTTCGACTGAAATATTTGAGAAGCTTACCCTCATGGCTTGTTGAACCAAGAAAGCACCTCTCTCAAGAGACACGTCCTCATATATCACTGTTTTCTTCTCCCCTGCAACTTCCTCTTGGTCGGTATTAACTTGAGACCTCTTGACCCTTGCATGACCTTCAATGAACCGATCAACTACATTCTGAAGGTTTGTATCAGCTTCAATCTTCTCGACATCAGCGCCACATAATGGACAATCCTTGAAGCGTGATATACACGCTCTGATTTTCCAAAAGGCAGAGAATCACATACAATAAAAAGCATTGTACATAGTGTAAACATAACATTCAATAGTTGAAAAACAGGTTTCTATCATCTGCTTACTTGCAATATACATGGGAACATGGCACACATTTGCTACAGTCAAAAAGAAGGGCTTGGCATATCATGCAGCTAAGGGGACCCAGCTTAAATGTTTGAGAATCATATCCAAAGGGGCACTTTGGAGAGATGCTGGCAGATTCATTAGACTCTTGTTTAACATTCCCATCATGAGCCACCTGCTGCTTATTCTGGTTTTCACTTGGCTTTTTTGAAGAGGCATCATCAGGGCGAGCAGCTTTGACAAAAGGGCAGACAGGTGTCATCTCGATCAACAACCTACATAAACAAAAAGAACAACACCTACTCGCTTTAATTCTTTCAAGTTAAAGACGTGTCTAGAATATCACTAAAACTCACAATCCCTTAAAATTAAGTGTCAAAATTTGGAGGAAACTCTTCCATACTCAAAGAACTGGAGGAAGTAGCAAGAATTATCAAAATTATAGAGTATATAATAATTGAAATGGTGGCAACATTGTTCTTCCTTCCCTATACCGAAAAAAGGTTCCATTAATTGACCATTCAGCAAATACAACACTATTAAACTTGAACTTGGAAAATCATTCTTCAGAATTTGTAGTAGCAATAGTAGAAATTCAAACTCAAATCTGGAAGTGACCCCAAAAAGGAAATTGACCCAAATCTGGAAGTGACCCCACGATGCAATTATATGTGTTTCCATTCATGAAAACAACACATGGTTACAAGAAAGAAGGGTTTCTAAAACACCCAATTACAAAAAGGGCTGAAGGCTATCTTATTTTTCGTTAATTTTTCCTCCCCTTATGGCAAATCATCTCAGGTATATTAATTTGAAACTAAGTAGAACAAAAATTTCTCAATATGTTCATGATGCCACAGCGAAATTGGTGCCTTGATTAGTTGGTTGGTCATCTCAAGTAGTACTATCTAGCATTCTTATTACCATCCAATAAAGTTTAAACAAACAGCTAAATCAACCTCATGTTCTGGCCTAAAAGGAAAACCCTTTCTTGTACTTGCGAATGCCTCAGCAAAATTTAGCGAATACACAAAATTGTTCGTTGAAACATTTACAATCCACAATGTGAATCTCCACAAACATCTATACCCTAAACACCGTCACCACCGCAACTTTAATCACCAAACACAGTCTTAAAACGATCTCGAGCTCAGAGAGATCTTGATGGATTATAAATCTGTACCTAATCCAAGAGATGTAGAACAACCGAAACACCAAATCGTAAATTTTATTCGATTGTACAATTGGGTTTATAAGGGTATGAGGTACCTGAGAGCTGTTGAATAGCTTCACTTTGCCTTTCAATTCGAGAGACTCAAACCGGTATTAGATGGTTTCGTTATTGTGGTTAGAACGACTAGAGGAAAAGAGGAAGTAGGAATTGGAGAAGAAAGATGAGAGCGAGAGAGAGAGAGAGAGAGAGAGAGAGAGAGAGACAACCAGAAGATCTATCCACTTTATTATTTTTTTTTTCGAAATAAGCTACTTTTTCGCATTATCTATTAATTAAAATAAATAGAAAATTTAATGACACCTGAAATTTATTTTTCTTAATATTTTATTTTTATTTACATTAAAGTTACGCATTTTGTAAATGAACGGACCTGATGTGATACAACTAATAAAAGAATTAGGTATATGTGAAGTCGATCAGAAAAAATAGATGACATAATTCGTTTATTTACTAGTTATACGTGGTTCATATACGCCACTAATTCGATACGACACAATTCATCATACACGAATTAATAAATAAATTTAATATGAATAAAATATTTTTTGACACGAACCCGTTAAGACTCGACATGAACTCAGCTCATTTGACATGATTGACAAGTTTAATTACAACATCTTAATGTAATGTGAGACGAATATTCGAGGAGTCAGAGTGAGATCTATTTTAATATCTTTTCTCTTTAATTTTTTTCTTGATAGATCACTTATCTTGTATTTATTCATCAAAAAAAAATATATTAAAAGAAATCTAGATTCGGAGGATACATACATTGCAATCGACACTTCTGATCGTTTTTTACTCTTAAAATTTATTTATCAATTTATTTTTGTTTGGGTAAGTGTGAATTGATTGTTTCACCTTCTTCATAATAATTCACTTATTTTTTAAAATAATATTAGGGGTTTAATTGGTTTATTCGTTTTTGTCAATTTTTGCAAATACTCTGTTTTATAAGTCTAATTGCCCAAAAATGATAAAAAAAAAATAAAAAAATAGTAAACTAAGAACTGCATGAACTTTTAATAGTGCATGTGTGTGAAAGAATGTCTTCTAAAAGAGTATATCTCTCGCCCATTGTTATGGTCGAAACTTTTTTTTTGAATTGAAACGTTAAAAATTTTATTAAGAAACTAAATTTGAAAGAAGAGGAGATGATATCAGAAAGTCTAGTGCCATTTCTTCCCAAACATCAATATTTTTATGTAATTTGGCTTTTCGAGCCAGCTGGTGAGCTACATGATTTCCTGCTCGTCTAACAATGGACAAAGAATAAAAAATAAATAGACGAAGAGACCGCTGCACATTTGCAATAATAGCGTCAATGGGAGAAAAGTCTTCAAAATTATCGTCAATCCTCTTCATGATTGCAGAAGAATACCCTTCCAACACAATTTCATCACACCCAATTTGCCTAGCAAAAAACACAGCTTTCCTTGCAGCCGTAGACTCTGCAGTTTGCGTTTCTCCCAAACCAATTAACTTCTTAGACATCCCAGCAATGAACGATCCAGTTTCATCTCAAATAGCCATCCCTACCCCAATAGCACCCTCTACGTCAAACACTGCTCCATCAAAGTTAACCTTAAATGATCCAGATTTAGGAGGAACCCAACGTTCTGGTGCATTTTTTTGGACAACACTCTGACCAGAATCTAAAGCTTGCTCATACTACGAAATAAACTCCATTGTCATATGAGAATACATAATTTTGTAGAAAAATTGAGTAGAAAACACGAGACTAAATGAATTGTATTGCATATTTTTCGCAAGTTTATTATTGAGGTCTAATAGGTGGCTGTTTGGATGATATGAAAAGTATTTAAGGGATCAAGTATGCATCTTTTGGTGAGCATAAAAATTTTTCTTGGGTATTAAAGAAGTTCACAGTTCGGACAATCTTGAAGACGATCAGGCGAGAAATGATCTATCCGCTACAACCTATCTTTTCTATTGATTTACTGTTAGCTTAGTATCTATCAAATTGATGTTTTTATTTTTTATTTTTTTGGGTAACTCATGTTTATTGTTAATCAGCATTTCCCATGTAAAGAAATGCTAGTATTTGCTGGAGAGTTTAACAAAAACAAGAGAAATTGCTGCCTTGGCGTTGTTATTCTCTTCTCGTATCATCTATGTTTTGTTAGTTTGGTTTTTATTGTATTAATTTTATTAATTTATTGTCTAAAATATTCAATTCGTGTTTAAATAGTCCCTAAACATATGATCAATTAAATTTTTGACAGAAATAATTATTTATTGGTCACGTTATACCATCTAAAAGATTAACACAGTCATTTCTGTAAAAAAACTTAACAAAGTGTCTAGTTAGGGAATATTTAAATATGAATTAGATACTTTAAGGACGAAATTAATAAAATAAATACAATGAAGATCAAATTAATAAAATATACATATTTTAGGGAGTAAAATTGTTATTAACACCCTAAAAAAACAATGCAAATTGTCAATCTAATTAGGAAGTTTTTTTTGATCAAAATTTAATTAGGAAGTTCTATATGGGATTTCTATTGATAGCCATTCTTGCATATCTTTTTCCTTGTTTTCAAAAACATTAATACTATTTAGACATAATTTATTGATTTAATTTATCACAATTATTGAATTGGTAACGAGTCCTAAAAAATACCGGAAACCACTCTCAATCCATGAACAATGAGTGAAAATCAACAAATTTGGTCAGCAAAATAGATTCAAATACCAAAATACGAACTTCATTGCAAAGCTTAGACCTTAGACTTCACTTACATTTCATTGAAAATAGTATTTGAATATAATTTGGACTTAATCTGGAAACTTAATTCATAGCAACCATTGGATTGGATTGAAAGTCGGCTTCATCTAATATTGAAACTTATAGCTAATCCAATAATTGCGTTGAATTAAGTCCCTGATTGAGTCTCTCTAAATTAGGTTCTTATAGCATAATAATTGAATTAAAGCTTATTATTTATTCAAATTGAATTACATAAAATTGCAAACTTCCAACCACAACAAAATAATACTCCTGTCACATATTCAGCACTTAGCTGTTATAAACGACCCATTGCTGCCATCATCTGCGCAGCTTGTTCAATCATTTGCCTCTGAAGCTGAAGCTTATACAACTCAACAAGCACCTCCTCATCTACTGTTAGTTCTGTCTCAACTTCAACCCCATTGGTTCCACAACCACTCTGTTGGGTGGAGCTTCCAGCCGCCACCGCCACTGCCTCTGCCGCCACAGATTCTGTGGCCTCATCCATCTGATACAACCCTGGTTTCACCTCCTTGGTGGCACAAAAAGTATGCACACGAAACTCACATTTGAGACAGTAATAAGACCAGTTTTTTGAGTCCAACATTTGGTTACAAATTTTACAAGCTTGAGGCGACAGCTTCTGGTCTGCAGGGACGCCGTAAGAGAGACTGAGTTTATGTGGATGGAGTCTGTGATTCACCTTGGGAGGCAAGAAAGCGCAGTGGACATGAAGATCAACCTGTTAGGAAAAATTTAACACAATTTTAATTATCCGTCTCCATTATCAAATATACTTACAAATAATTGAAGAGGGTGAGTCTTGACGCAACGGTAATGTTATTTTATTGTGATTTGAAGGAGGTCACGAGTTCGAATCACGGAAATAACCACTTTGCTTAGAAGCTTACAGGAATAAGACTGCATATATCTAATTCTCCCCCAACTTGCAATAGCGGGAGCGTCCTCGTGTATTGGGTACCCCTTTTAATTTACATATAATTGAATGATAAGTTAGCAATGGAAATTCATGCAAATACATATTAGAGCAAAACATGTGATTTTCCAAAAATAAAAAAACCATATGAACTTAATGAAATATAAACCATAATATAAATAAATTGAAATAAGATGACATGTGACATTCCGGAGATGTGTAATCACTGTCCTAACTATACTTCTCCACCTGAAGATGATGACAGACAATAATAACTTCAAGATCCAACACAAATGGTTATAAGAGTATCTCCTCAGAGCTAACGTACGCTCAAAAGTAGGTATGGAGCTAACTTGAATCAAAAGTTGCTCTAGAAAAATAATATGAATAAAATATGTGTAAGGAAAGAGTAACCTTCGCATATGGCATTCAAACTATGATCTTGGTGTCCATTAAGTTTTTGAACTTTTTTTTTGTCAATTAAGTCCTTAAACTCTCTAATTGTATCAATTAAACCATTTTGTCTACCTCCGTTAAATTGTGCCACTCACATAACCATATGATACAAAAAGATAGAAAGACTCAATTGACACAAAAAAAAAAAGTTCAAGAACTTAATTGACACAAATGTTATAATTTGAGACATATGTATAGTTTATTCCAAATTATTTGTGTCACGTGAGTGACACATTTCACAATTTCTGTTAGAAAATCTAATGAAGGCAGATAAAAAGATTCAATTGATATAATTAAAGAGTGTAGAAACTCAATTGATGACAAAAAAAAGTTCATAAACCATCTACTCATAACGAAATCTATATATATGAATAGGACATATGAGAACAAAAGGTTGTAAAACAAGGTTGTATGGAGTTGAATGTTGGAGAGCAAATTTGAATGGTAGAACTTCATGTTGCAGACTTCTCCTATAAAGTAGATTGCTCATATAGACAGATCTTCGAGTAGAATCTTAAGTGAGTAGGGAATTAAAAACAGCCCATTATATTTGTAACTAAAATCTAGAAATCAAATCAAAATCTGAAACTCAAAAAACTGAAAAAACTAGAACTAAAACTAATGAGATGTGCTTTGAGCACTTGTTTTTTTTTATCATAGCACAAACCTCACATGGCGCACAACAGTAGGAGAAGGAGCTTCCGGGGGCGCCACAGGCGTTGCAGAAGAAGGAGCCACTGGCATAAGTTGGGTATGGAGAGAGGAAGAGAGGGTGAAGTGGGTGAGATGGGTGTTTGACATAGCGGTTTGCATTGCCACAATGCTCGTGGAGGAAGAAGTTGCAGGGCCAACAAGCGTAAATGGAATCAGTGCACGAAGACTCACAGCCTGAGCAATGGAATTGTTGCCCTGGTTGTGTTTGATAGATGTTCAGGTTGTGCTGGTGGCTGAAATGCTTGTATTCCATCTCTCTCTCTCTCTCTCTCTCTCTCGGGGTAGACTTTGGAGTGTACATATATATATATATATATATTCTAAAATGGACCAAGTCAGGCTCTTGTTATTTTTGACCAAGGCTTTTAGCTATATGCATGCATGTTCCTTGCTTCTCATTGGAGAACTGGAAAATTTAATAGAATTCAAGTTGTAGTTGCTTAAGGGAGTTGGTGTGATCATCATTTTGACTAGTATTTTGATTTGAACTCTAGAAATGAATAGTTTGGTTGGCATTTTGATACTCGGGTTGAGAATTGAAATCCAAACATGTAAGTATAATAAAGTGGTTGAGTGTCAACCTACCATGAATTGTAAAATTGGATCCAATCTTGTTAGTGGTTTTTGGGTGTTACTTATACATGTGATTAGCAAGTTATTGAAGGTTTCTACGATTTACTCTATATATAAGTCCAATATGTTCTTGTTTTGGAGAAATTCTTTGTTAGGACACAAAGAAAAACAAGTAAGAGATGTAGTTTTGGACCAAAATTAACGGTACAAGTTTCAAGAAGATACAAATGATAAACGAAATACTCAATTCGAGCGTGATGTTGAGGGTAATTGGTGCAATCGACTTCTAGACTGATCTTGGTCCAAATTCACATTTTGAAATTTGATTCAAATTCAAAAGATCGAAGTAAACATTAGCATACCTTATGTACTGAATTCCAACCCGACTTTTTACGAACGAAATTAATAATGCATTTTATACCTAATTTGTTAATTTAATTCAGCATAATTATTGGGTTGATCGTGGTACCAACAAATACCGCGATCCATTATCAATGTAATGGTTGTGAATGATTAGACAAATAAATTAGATCCAAATAACATTACTCGATCTAAATTAGTTTGATTGTGTATATTCCACTTGCAAAGTTGGATTTAGATATTCTATCCTTGGAAAATATGGGTTGAATTCATGGAAAGATTGAATTCATGGAAAATATGGGTTAGATATTCCATCCTCGGAAAGATTGCTAATTCCGTGTACATTGACTTGAAGGTGCGTGTTGTTTGGCTCCTCTGAGAAGTCAGATACATCATACAAGTGGGATCTATCAGGGCCACAATAGCTGCAGTTGACCCAAAACCATGTGCAGTGGGCAAAGATCGCATTCCAAGGTATCTATAATATAAGCGAACAAGTTTTAATAAATATATTCGATGATTTTAAATAAATTTATATAATTGATAAGACTTTTCTGAAATACTCCATGATGAAGACACGTGTCCTCGGTATTACCAAAACACTGTTGCTAAGATCAAGCACCATCGGCGGACAAAGGTCCTCGCCCCCGAGGTACTCGTCATATAGGATCATGACATTCAGTACGTTTTACAACCGACACGTAGCCTCGGTCTGATATGGTACCTCGGTCGGTATACCTCCCTCGGTTCCGAGATGAGCCTTTCCTCGGTGCCGAGAGGTACCCCGTCCTGGACGCTTCCTCTACTCCATAATAAGCTATTGACGTACAGGTCATTAGCCTAGGCTAGTCTAGGCTATTCATCATGACCTCGTCTTACACAATTAGTGTCAGAACGTACTGGAATGTAGGGGCCACAGCCAATGGGGGATGGACGCGTGGCATATGATGTCACATCAAAGACAGAAAAACCGCATGTCGTTGCTGACACGTGACTTGGGAAAGTAAATGATTAATTACATCATTCCCTTGACGAGACTGCATTCAATGCGGTAAGGCTCGGAAATGAAAGACAATAAATGTTCCTAATACAGAGCATTTATTGCATCCTCCCCGAGAGGAGTTCATTGTACCGTCGGCATCCCGATGACGCAGTATTGATTGCTCGGGACCCCGAGCAGTTAAGAAGGAAGACATTCCTCATCAGAATCAGTGCGCACACTGCCTGTACCTAATGATCACCTACTGACTACATTGACAACAATTATGAGCTTTTAAGGTATAAATACTCTTTGCAAAATGCAAGACGGGTATGCAACAAAAAACTCTTTACTACAATACACACTCAGTGCTTTCTTCTTCCTCTCTCTCTCTCTCAAAGACTGACAAGATCGTCGGAGGGGATACGCCGGAAAACACTCCGGCACCCTTCTAACTTGTTCTTCTTTGTTCCAGGAACCTCTCTTCAGCCTTACTGGATCGTTCTTCCGCTCCCTCAGGGTCTTCCTTTGCCGTTCCAGGTTACCACCGGACCTCGCAGGCTGTTCCAAGCAGCGTGGTTGGTCACTCAACTGACTCACTCGAGTTCACCAAGGGAGAGATCTGTTCTCGTTTTTATATTGTGCAGGATCGTGCACGCACAATCTGGCGCCGTCTGTGAGAAACGACTAGTTTTCCTAAGTTTTTTCTCTATAAAGAACAGTGACCATGGTGAACACTCGACAGAAAGGGAAAGGCCCCCACCAAAGGAGTCTCGAATTACAAGCTCCCTGTCATCACGGAGGGAGGGATCACACCGATATGAATAAAAGTACCTCTACTCGGTCAAGAGGGGTTACCCCTCAAACCAGTATGGGAATCAGGTCAGGGGGATCAGCCCCCTTGGCTCGTCAGCTGGCGGAGGTGATTGAAGAAAAGTTTGGCGATAGATTACGACAGCTGAAAAAGGACAATGTAAACATCCTAAGCCGGCTCAACGAGTTTGCCGCCTCCGGCGAAGGGTCGAGGGATTCATTCCTTTCTCGTGGGCTTCCCGCCCGGGAGGGGGAGACGAAGGACCTAAGAAACCACCTAAACAACAAAGTAGAAAGCTCTAGGGCCCCAAAGCGACCCAGAGCCAACGAGCATCATCATGACGACCATTCAAGGAAGGCAAGGCCATTGACCCTGGACGACCTCCGGCGAGGTTTGTCTAGACGGAGGAAGGGAGATGTATCCGAGGAGGATTCAACCCAATCCACACGACGCCTAGGAAATGAGGGGCTTACCGATGAACTCAAGGACTTCAGAAGGCATCCCGTCAGGGAGGAAATTGATCTCAGAGCCCGGTTGGAATCCAGGAGAAAGGGTAAGGCTGTCCAGGATGAGGCCGAAGACGAAGTCATACAAACACCCTTTACGAGGGAGATCGATGAGATGGAGGTTTCAAGAAAGTTTGTCGTGCCGCGGTTCAAAACTTATGACGGGCGGTCCGATCCCGAAGCCCATGTCAGGCAATACAAGCAGATGATGTCCCTCTATCATTCGGACCAACGGTTTCTCTGCCGAGTGTTTCCTATGAGCTTGGGGGACTCTGCGATGAAGTGGTTCGAGGCGCTTCCCCCCAACAGTATTGGGTCATGGAAGGAATTGACGAAGCAGTTCCTGGCTCGATTCATTACGGGGAGTAAGCGCCCCAAAGACGTTGGATCATTGCTGACCCTCAGACGTAGGGAATCCGAGACTCTTCGCCAGTACGCCATCCGATACTGGGAAGAGGTTAATGAGGTAGAAGGCTGCTCGGAAGTCATGGCAGCAGCATCTTTCCGGCTCGGCTTGGCAAGGGACACGGACCTGTACCGATCCCTGACCAAGAAGACTCCCTCAGATATGGGGGAACTGATGGCCCGGATAAACAAATACTCGAGGGTTGAGGACGAGATTGGAAGCAGCAAAGGCCGAGCCCTCCAATCTAAGAGAAAAGAGAGGGAGCGGGAAGATATTCCCCGAAAGGGATTGCTACCCCCTCCGGGGGGTTCGTCCAAAGGAGTTCACACTGTGTTCAAGGAACCCATCTTCAAGTTGCTCCATAAGATCAAGCACGAGCCGTTCTTCAAATGGCCGCCCAGGATGCAGAGCGACCCCTCCACCCGTGATCAAAAGGTTAGGTGTTCCTATCACCGGGATTTCGGGCATCGCACCGAAAGCTGCAGGGTGTTTAAATCGTTCTTGAAAAGATTGGTCCGAGACGGATATTTGAAAGAGTACATAGAGCCCAGGCCAGAAGAGAGACAAGCCCTTGCCCCGACCGAGGAGCCGGACAACATCATAGATGTCATCCATATATGTCCCCTGGATCGCCCCACATCCAAAGAACTCGAGTCCGACCTCAAGAGGGTAGCTTTTACGAGGAAGGTAGCCGAGGTTGATGTAGGGCCACATAGTAAAAGGGCCAGGACGGGTGAGCTTGGCATTACATTCTCCGACGCGGATTTGACAGGCGTAGTGACTCCTCATAACGACGCCCTTGTCTTGACCCTGAGGATAGGAAAATTCGACGTCAAAAGGGTTTTGATAGACTCTGAAAGTTCCTCGGAAGTGATGTACTCCGAAACTTTAAAACGGATGGGTCTTGGCCTCAAAGACCTCACCAAAGTCAGGACACCCCTCATCGGATTCAACGGCTCGTTCGCCCTGCCCGTGGGAAAAATCACATTGCCAGTTGTCACAGGTCCCTTCGTCATCAACAACGAGTTTGTCGTGATCGATACGGACTCTCCCTACAACGTGATTATGGGGCGAACATGGCTGCATGCGTTGGGAGCGGTGCACTCCACTTTCCACAAGAAATTAAAATTTGTCACGCCAGAAGGTATCATGGAGATCCGGGGGGACCAAGCGTCCGCGAAAAATTATTTTTATTCAGCCGTTCGAGCCGGGGCGTTCAGCCAGGAGAAGGGGCGAGCACCGGAAGAGATCATGAAAAAATAGCAATCACAGTCCGGGCGTCCAGGAATGGATGACCCCTGGATAGACCCAACTGAGCGGTCGGTAGAAGACCTCCGGAAGGTGCCCTTGGTGGAAGGAGAAGAAGAGAGGTATTTCTTAGTTGGGACCTCGATGCCCACAGCCGAACAGGAGGAGATGATCGAGTTCCTAAGGGAAAATACAGACGTGTTCGCGTGGAACGAGATGGAAATGACGGGTGTAGACCCCGAGATAATCACACACAGGCTGCATGTTGACCCGTCGCACAAGCCAGTCAAACAGAGGCCACAACGCATGGCCCCGCATCACGCCAGCGCGGTC